ACTATTACGATCGGGTTGATGACCTTATTAACAACGGACCTTATTCAAAATTAAATAAAAATCCTTTACCTAGTATGGTTGCTGGGTTTACTAAAACCGTAAAACAATGTCACAACATTATTACTCCTACATTAAAACGAAATTTACTTGTATCATGTCCAACAGTTCCCCGTTTGTACTGTTTGCCCAAGATACATAAACCAGGTAAGTCGATGCGACCAATTGTCTCTGCAATTGGTGCACCAACTTATAAATTAGCCAAGTGGTTGACAAATGAATTCAACAACCTCCCTATTAAACCACCTAGTTTTTCAGTTAAAAATTCTATTGAATTCATAAACAAAGTCAAAGACGTAAAACTAAAAGACAGTGAGGTTATGGTTTCATTTGATGTTTGCTCCCTTTTTCCAAGTGTACCTGTTCCGCTTACTTTGACGTATTTAGAGGATTTACTTAAAGAAAATGGTTTCTCCGCCGACATTGTAGCTGAGTACATAACTCTGGCTTCAATGTGCATGCGGCAAAATTATTTTCAGATAAATGGTTGCTTCTACGAACAGAAAGAAGGAACAGCTATGGGGAATTCTTTATCACCCTTTATAGCCGACCTTTTTATGAGTCGTTTTGAAAGTGACCTTAGCCACCTTGAGTTTTTTCCTCGAATATGGCTTAGATACGTGGACGACATTTTTGCTATCTTCGATTTAAGTTCCAGAAGTCTTCAAGACTTTCTTGATGTTTTAAATTCACGTTTCCCTTCGGTTAAATTTACAGTAGAAATGGAAAAAGATGGCAAATTACCATTTTTAGATACGTTGGTTATAAGAAATGGGAATTCTTTAGAATTCGACATCTACAGAAAACCCACTAATACCTCTAGATATATACCCAACGACTCTAATCATTGTGTTCAACATAAAATGGCTAGTTTTAACTTCCTTGTACACAGATTACTTAGCTTCCCTCTTAGTAAAAATAGATATAATAAGGAACTCTGTACAATTAAGAAAATTGCAAAAGACAATGGTTACAATTGTAACATTATTGATAAATTAATTAATAAGATTAAATTTAGGAATTTTGTTTTAAAATCTACGACTTTTCAAACAGACATTAATAAGACCAAGTTTATTACTATGCCATACGAGCCAAGATTTACTCGAGGACTGGAGGGTATTTTTCGAAAACTTGCATGGTTTACAGATTGCTTACAGTTCAAATAGCAACTTCATTCAAACTCTCCTTGGTAACCCTACGGATAAAATTCCTTTCTTAGAAAAGTCGAGGATATATGAAATTAGCTGTCATGACTATATTAAAAAATATATTGGACAAACTAGACCCTTAAATAAAACTAGATTAAAGGAGCATTTATCTCATGCACGATTTGGTAGGGAGGAAAAATCTAGTGTTGCCCAACATATTCTTACTGAAGAACATAATATTAAAATTAATAATCTTAAATTAGTTAAGGAAGTTAGGAATAATTGTTTACTAGATGGTTTTGAAAGTTTATACATTTATAAAAATAAACAAATTTTACTGAACAATGACAACGGTCCTATCCTTAGATCTCCGCTATTTAGTCTAGTTTAATTATTTCTGTTATTGTTGTCGAAGTCTATTGAACATCAACCTTATTGTTCACTGAACCTTAACAACTATTAGTATAAATTAGGATTAGTTTCCTTTTAGGTTTAGTTCGCTTCAGTCCCCGAAGAAGATAACCTTGTTACCGAAATGTGCTTCGGATAACTAAAGTGTCGTGTTTTAGCGTTGGGGTTTGAGCTATTTTGTTTTTTCTACAACAACCGCCAAAGTTTTTCCAGTCTTCATATTTTGTCGCATTATGAAAAGATGATGAAGGAATTTTTTATGATGCAACATGATGAAGTAGCTACATAAGAAAATACCACAAATGGAGCGGTAAACGCCATCTGTAGTACGATGCTACATTTTAGGATTACGTATACTCCAACAAAGTCCATTTAAATATATGGATATCTACTTGCTGAAACGAATCCCGGCGTAGNAACAATCTAGTTTTTCAGTTAAGAATTCAATTAAATTCTTAAACAAAGCCAAAGACATTAAACTAAAAGACAGTGAGGTTATTGTTTCATTTGATGTTTGCTCCCTTTTTCCAAGTGCACTAGTTCCGCTTACTTTGACATATTCAAAGGATTTACTTTAAGAAAATGTTTTTTTCCGCCGACATTGTAGCTGAGTACATAACTCTGACTTCAATGTGCATGCGGCTAAATTATTTTCAAATAAACGGTTGCTTCTAAGGAACAACTACGGGGAATTCTTTATCATCCTTTATAGCCGACCTTTTTATGTGTCGTTTTGAAAATGACCTTAGCCACCTTGAGTTTTTTCCTCGAATATGGCTTAGATTCGTGGACGACATTTTCGCTATCCTCGACTTGAGTTCCAAAAGTCTCCAAGACTTTCTGGATGTTTTAAATTCACATTTCCTTTCGATGAAATTTACTGTTCAAATGGAATTCGACATCTGCAGAAAACCCACTAGTACCTCTAGATATATAACCAACGACTCTAATCATTGTGTTCTACATAAAATGGCTAATTTTAATTTCCTTGTACATAGATTGCTTACCTTCCCTCTTATTAAAAGTAGATATCATAAGGAACAATTAAAAAAATTGCGAACGACAATGGTTACAATTATAATTTAGGTTTTTTGGTGGAATTAAACACACTTTGCAAAAGTAAAATTACTGAATAAAACACAATTAAAACTTAACAAATTTAATTAACGATCGCTGAAGGATGAAGTAGAACAGTTGAATAATAGATCGGAAGTGTTAGTAGTCTTGAAAATAAATTTTAACGAAGATTAAAAGGGTGGAGCTAGAAGTATTTTAACTAAAGTAGGGATCGAATCAGAAGAGAATGAAACTTGGAAAGAGTGATTAGATGAAATACTAAGAAAAAGATTTCGCCCCAATGTACCTAGAAACCCAATATTAAAATGCAATTAAGAAGTAATAAGAATTATACAGCTCATGCTGTTAGTAAACGAAATTAAAATGTTAAGGGATTAGTGGAAAGTACAAGTAGTAAAGTAATTTGTAGAGAGAATAATAGAAAGGTACAGATACAAAAGGTTTTGAGAAGATACATTTGAAAGCATATTTACATAATAACAATAGGAAATATTTACAAAAGAAAGAATTGAATTATACGTTACAATATTGAGTTGGGAAAAATATCAATATATCAAATATCAAAAATATATAAGTGATATCATATCGTAACAAAAATATATGTGGCAAATATGTGTAGCCACAAATGCTTCAATATAGGTTTTCTAGAATTTTTAAAATCATTGTATCACCCCTGTAGAGGCGATTTTTGCCATCCATTTTATATGCTTTCTTGCTAAGAGGCTGTAGGTACCTTGAGTACCTTAGTGGACTACCGTTCAGAAACGCTTCGCGNCTCTCCTTGGTAACCCTACGGATAAAATTCCTTTCTTAGAAAAGTCGAGGATATATGAAATTAGCTGTCATGACTATATTAAAAAATATATTGGACAAACTAGACCCTTAAATAAAACTAGATTAAAGGAGCATTTATCTCATGCACGATTTGGTAGGGAGGAAAAATCTAGTGTTGCCCAACATATTCTTACTGAAGAACATAATATTAATATTAATAATCTTAAATTAGTTAAGGAAGTTAGGAATAATTGTTTACTAGATGGTTTTGAAAGTTTATACATTTATAAAAATAAACAAATTTTACTGAACAATGACAACGGTCCTATCCTTAGATCTCCGCTATTTAGTCTAGTTTAATTATTTCTGTTATTGTTGTCGAAGTCTATTGAACATCAACCTTATTGTTCACTGAACCTTAACAACTATTAGTATAAATTAGGATTAGTTTCCTTTTAGGTTTAGTTCGCTTCAGTCCCCGAAGAAGATAACCTTGTTACCGAAATGTGCTTCGGATAACTAAAGTGTCGTGTTTTAGCGTTGGGGTTTGAGCTATTTTGTTTTTTCTACAACAACCGCCAAAGTTTTTCCAGTCTTCATATTTTGTCGCATTATGAAAAGATGATGAAGGAATTTTTTATGATGCAACATGATGAAGTAGCTACATAAGAAAATACCACAAATGGAGCGGTAAACGCCATCTGTAGTACGATGCTACATTTTAGGATTACGTATACTCCAACAAAGTCCATTTAAATATATGGATATCTACTTGCTGAAACGAATCCCGGCGTAGCTAACCTCAACGTGATAGGCACGTTACCATAGTCGAATAAAATAATTCGAAGTGGTCTGTATTCTGTCGAAACAGCCAGACGCGGATCGCGATTTCGATCTTTTTGTATCTCATTAGCGCGTCGCAGACAGCTCCAACAGAACACAGACGGTAAACGCCATCTGTAGTTTACCGCGACATTTGTGGTATTTTCTAAAACGCGCTGTTAAGACAGCAGGTAAAAGTTGGTCTGTGTTCTGTTGGAGCTGTCTGCGACGCGCTAATAAGATCCAAAAAGATCGAAATCGCGATCCGCGTCTGGCTGTTTCGACAGAATACTGACCACTTCGAATTATTTTATTAGCTACATAAGATTAATATGATAAAGTTAACTAGCCTCGGAGTCATAAATGCTATATAGTATAAATTACATTGTATAAATGCTGTATTGTAGCCTCTTCTAACTCACATGATCGATCGTTGAATCACAATCAGACCAACTAATGGACGTAATTTAATTAATTTTAATGAGGTATAAATTATATATTTACTACCTTTCATTTATCAGACTTTGACCCGAAGAAAAATTGTAGATCCGCTTATGATAGCAAAAGCTGGTTAGGCATTAATGGGACGCGGGTATCAATATTACTGTAATTGGAGGCCTATCTGTCGCACCTGGAATGAACTTTGCAGAGATTTGACGGTCGCTATTATACTGCTGCAACTCTTATAAGCCGTGAATGAGACTGGGTTAGCGACTATGGAATATGTTCGATTTATTTATTCCAGTTATGAAAAAACTAGTTGGTTATTGAAGTAAAGTAAATTTTATTTAGCTTGAATATTTAAACAATAGTGAGTTACAATTTTTCAATGTTCTTTTACTGACAACCTTTCTTTAACAACGTATTTCTTACAACTTCTTTCCAAACAGGATTTGAACTAGACGAAACATAAACTTTGGTTAATACAAATCATGACTTGTTTTCTTAATCTAACAATAAGCAACGTAAAATACTTGATTTATTACTCTACGAACTTACATTACATTACATATTATGATATCATTGTATTCTAACAGAATACAATAACTTCGTGCTATCTCCCGCTTCCAAAATGTATTTCCACGGACAACCATTCTGAGCATAGTTGAATACGGGCTAGACCATTTCGAATTACAAGCCGCGTTAAAAATCCAAAAGCTAAATTCCGACAGTAAACCTTTAAAATTGTTAAGAATGTTCATCGCGCGTCGCGGGAAAAATCGGTTCTACCAGAGTTCGCGTTCTAGTGACACAAGTATCGCACCACCCATAAATCGTGAAAAAATGAATATGAAAGGAAAATTTACCGGTGCGGGAAAAGTGCCAGTTACCGTCCAAAACCGAACGCTATTTCCAAAAGAAAAACAAAATTGTCCCCGACTTGAGCCTACCCGTATGTACCAATTATAAGAAAATAGGACATACGGAAGTGTTGGTACAAACACGACAAACCAAAGAACATACTGCTTATCAAACATGAACGAAGATTATCCGGTGACTACTGTTTTGTATAACATCTCGACCTTCACATACTTAATTGACAGAGAGGCTAATGAGTCAATTTTAACTGAAAATGCCGCCAAGGAACTCGGCGTAACAATTAAACGAAGTAAACATCCTCTATGTGGGCTTGGTTCGAGATGTGTTTATAAGATTGGAATGAGCAAAATCATTGCTGTTTTACCAACGATAACATTGGAGATTTTGTTTACCGTAGTACCGAATGACTAAAATACAGGAATGCACGTTCTAGAAACGGATTACCTTGGCACAGTTATAAGTGAAGGGACATTGCGGCCCACCTCGGAAAATACTAGCACTCACAGAAACAACTTCCCGTGCAGATGTAAAAGGCGTACGCCAGTTCTCGAGACTCGCAGGTTATTTTCGAAGGTTCACAGAACGCTTTTCAGTAGTTACTAATTACTGCTCCAATTTCTAACCTATTTTTGTATTGTTACGCTAAAGACCTATAACTTCTTACGTGCGTACGTAAGTACTTCCACGTTTAGATAAGGCGACTTCCGTTCTAAAAGGGGTGGATATCAAATCAGGTGATGTTCCTACTTAGTTGTATTTGCGCACTAAAGACTTATTCTCGGTACACTTATGTTACAGCACTAAATACCTAGTGTAGTCCCGTACAAAACAACAGAAGTGATGTTTCACTTTTAATAACAGGATCACTTAAACCCACCAATTAATTAATTCTGGAGATCGCGAGAAAATGTGTCAACTCTGGCACAAAAATAATAAATAGTTAATTGTTAATCAACGACTTTATTATGTAACGTCGAAGTAATACTACTTAGCCTTGGTTATGGCAGTCTTTATACAGGTTTCCTAATTTGAAGTGAACGTATGTCAGTAAATCGAACATAAGGGTACACACACTTTTTTAGTAGTGTCCTATCACTACATGCAATCCCCCCAATTATTTTTAGTACAACCTGTGTATACCTACCTGCAATTTTATACCTACAATAATTGCAGATTTGGTAGGAGATTAAGCAGTAAATTTAGAGAACGATAGGCACGATATAACATTAATCATTTAGAAAAATTATCGCGATCAATAAGAAGCAAAGGAAATCGGAAAATATAGTGTTACAAAAGCGGATAAAGGTAAATCACTATCTTTAACATAAATATAAACATAATTCCCTTATATGCCTTCGTATGACTATATTAATGATAGCAATTTCTTGATATTTTCATGTATATAGTCAGTTTACTACTCCAACGAAAACCGCATGACTCATGATCAGAATTAATATGAACAAATCAGTGTAGTATAGTACCTGTCCTTTGGCGTCCAGCCGATAAGGGGAATAGTGAGCATGCTGCGTGCACCCATCAACTTGTCTTTTTCGATGAACAGGTCGCTCATGGATCCGTCGGGCAGTTTCTCCGGATTTTTGTTGTCTTCCAATAAGTTCTCAAAGAACCAGTCGGAAGCACGGTTGGATACGTCGTTCTTCCAGTTGTACCTAGTGACAGAGTTGCCGCCAAATCTGTCGACCGTCAAATTGATCTCTTTGCCGAATTCAACATCGTTGAAGAATGATGTGCCGTATATGTATGGTGAGATCGTGTGATTATTTGAACTGACGTCCACCTCTAGCGTGACAGCACTATAGGCCAGATCATCTGTAAAGCAGAGACCTTGTTATTGACTGAATTTTATATTATACTATTTAATCATACATTGTCGCACTTCTCCTAAAGCATTTATATTAATGAAAAGATAATGAAATGATAAAAAACGAAGTACTAGATATATCTTTTATAAGACCGTTTGTATAAACATTATAAATTATATATAAAAATATTATAAAGAGGAAAGATTTGAGTTTGTTTGTTTTTTTGTTTGTTTGCATTGAATAGTCTCCGAAACTACTGGACCGATTTAAAAACGAAATGTATGCTGCGACACATAGTAGAAGTGAAACTTCAACGGACAAGTGGAATAAAGAATGGAAACGGACAGGTGGTAAAACGAATCGCAACAAAATATTTTTGAAGTGAAACTTCTTTGGGCTCGATGAGAGTAAAATCTGTTTCGTCTCGCAAAGCGATAGGCTATGAGAATAGAAAGACGCGAATGCGCATATCGGCATCACAGTCAGCTGTTAGTCACCGGTATCTCATATATTATAGTACAATGTATATTCACTATAGTATAGTGCTAAATTAATTTTTAGGTTATATCTGTACAGTTATATTGCAGTAAGTGTATTACAGTAAATGTTTATTTAACAACAATTAATATTTAATTCAGAGTTAGTATTATTATGTATTAATTTTAATTCCTTGCAGTTATTGATAATTTACAGTTTCATAAGCACTTGGAAAAATAAACGGAAGCTAAAAAATTTGACCATTTTTTTGTTATTGAATTACATAGTAATAAAGTAATACCTACTCCTTAGGCGGACTAAAGATAAAATATGTTGGAAAACATAAGTCCTTAAAATTCTCGTACTCTTTGTTTCTTTAGGCATACAGATCGCTAAGGAAGTTTCACTTCTTTCACGTGTACTGAGTTGCACCTATTTTTTTTTACAAGCAGATTGTTAATGTATGTTTTGTGCAGTCGTGAGATAAAAAATTATCCGGAGACCACTCGGAAGTTGCGTTACTGAACTACCGTTCTACTAGAATGTTTTAAATAAAACTAGTAGCGAATTTGAGTTGATGTGTTTAATGAGAATGTTTCTTACATACTAACTAACAATATTAAATTTACTTAAAACTAGAGAACAACTAACAAAGGGGGTGGAGTCTAAATGAAACATATCATGGTGGTGGATAAATGAAGGTATTTCCTGAATGTCGTCATAGACGAGAGGGTGTTCAACCAGATACAGAAAAGTTCTGAAAACAGGTATGAATGAGCTAACAATAAGCCAGGTACTAGTGACAGAAAAACCTCATTTATACTACCAGGAATTATTGAATTTATCACGTACATTTTGTCTGCATGACAATGAAATTATTCACAAAATATTGTAAAACCAAATAATAAAAGAAAGGAATTTATGACCTAAAATGCTTGAAGAAATGTTTGAAGTAGTGTTATAAAGTTGAATTTAACAAAGGAACAAAGAAATTTAGAAACTTGAAATGTAATGAAAGTAATTAACAATACTAAATCTCACTAAACGGAAAAGTTTTCGAATTAAAATAATTGTATAAAATATAGATAATTATTAGGACTAAACATCCCGCCGCCCTTGAACCGATAGCGTTCAAAAGAACTCACCAGCGCATATACACAACACACACGCAGTTTTTCACTTTGGTCACTAGAAAGAATAGTCAGTAAGTCGCCAATAGGGAAATGACTGGTGGGTTTATCTAAAAAGTCGTTTAGATCAGAGGAAATGGGTGTAAGGGGGCGCGAGTTAAGTATTGCTTCTACTTCAGTGTTTGTAACTTGCATTAAACTGTGAAGTTCAGGTGAAAAAGTGTCTTTTTGAATTAATTTGATTATAATGAGTTTTGCTAAAGTTAACGCTTCTGTTGATAATGGTCCATCATTTTTTACGATCTTACTACTGTTTCGAATAAATCTCATGCATTATAATAGAACACGCACTAGTTCTGTCCAGGAAGAAAATTTTGTTAAAACAGAATAACCGTAGATTGTAACACTAAGTGCGATGACAGGTTTTTTCTCAGGGATTTCAGTAGAACAAATGCGGTGTCTTGGCCAGTGACCTTTTTCTTTCAAAAGCCATGAGGGTCTTTGATTCCATAGAGAGCTTGAATCCAGTTGCTATATGTTTTCGTTACAAGAAAGAATATCTACGGGGTTGTCTGCAGATGGAACATGTCTCCACTGGCGAGAGCTTGTATGCGATTGAATATACCATATTCTATTTGCCACAAATGTCTTAAGGATATGTGGCGCTGAATTAATCCACCAAAGTACAATTTCTGAATCAGACCACAACACAATGTTCTTAATATTTAGGTGTTCTAATGCCTTGACGCGTGCTTTAACTGATTTAACTAAAACAACAGTTGCGCATAGTTGAAGGCGCGGTAGAGAGATCGTTCTTATGAGTGCCACGCGTGATTTAATTTCAGAGTTTGACTGCAACCTTTTTTCTAGCGAATAGAGTCTACGTAGCGTTGTTTTGTTTGATTTTCCAAGATCTTTTACATCTTCTTTGAATGGAAGCTTCATAATGTATTTCCCAGCGTCATCCCTTTGTACATGTTCATGAAAATGTGCCACGCACGCCTTTTCGTTTGGTGAATTGAATATTATTGCAGGTTCCTCTTCAATTCCCCAGAATTTGGAGATTTCTTCATTAGGATTGTCTACGTTGAGATAACAACGAGATTGTTGTATGATGCAACTGTCGGTGAACGCTCGTCCTCCAGAAAGCCATTCAAGTTGGGAATCGTCTGGTCGTTTAATTGTTGGTGCTGTGAAGACTTCATTTACGTGTTTTAAAATAATCACCCGTTCGTTACTGTAACGCTCCTGTAAAAGCGACCATGCCACTTGGTAATTATCTTCCGATAACTCCAACGAATGAATGAGATCCGCAGCCTCTGCCCTAACACATGAACGTAGATAATGCAATTTATGAATAACTGGAAGCGCTGGATTGCTGTCAATCATCGAAATAAATGAATCGCGAAAATTTAGCCATTTGTCGTAAGATCCGTCAAACGTAGGAAGTTCAATCTTCGGTAACCTGCAGCTTACGTGAACATCTTGGACTGTAGACGGTGATAAGGAATTATCGGCTAACTGTCCTGCTGTGGAATTTGAGGATGGTTTCTGGTAGCGTTTTATGAGTTCGTTTGCTGCCTCTACACATTGGTACCAAAGGGTTTCGAAGTCCGCTCGTTCATGTTCTTCTTTCGATGATGACTCGCCAATACTTTCGATCTCCGCCAATTCAATTTCTTTTTGAATCCTTTGAAAGTCGTCCCAAGTGTCCATTATGCGACTTAACTGTGCCTTGAGTGCTGGTATCTGTTTAGATTCTTTACATTCTGCCACTGATTTTTGAAACCTTGTAAGTCGCGCCTTACAAACACCTCGTCGATGATTTAGGGTTCTGATTTGTAATTCAGACATGATGGTGATTTGTAGATTACTTAACTCGCGAGGAAATAAAAAGGAAAAAAGACGACTTAAAGACTTACTACTTAGAAGTTCTCTGATGGCTGCTTTGATGTTCGATGTTCAGGTGAATTACCCTCCTTGGTTGAATCCTGTAGGCTTGGTATCGTAGTAGCTGTTAAGATTTCTGGCGTTGTTTCAGTTCACAAAGAACACACAATGTTTGTTGAATAAAACTTATTGCTTGTAGCGTAGAAAGAACTGTTTTTCGCGACACTAACTATCGGCGTAACTGTAACTTGATTTAAGTATTTGTATTTTCGTAGATGTGATATGTATTAGTATATCCGAATTGTATTAGTAAATCCGAATTGTATTACTATAACCGAATTGTATTAGTAAATCCGGCTCGAAGGACCAAAATGTTTTGTGCAGTCGTAAGATAAAAAATTATCCGGAGACCGCTCGGAAGCTGCGTTAATGAACTACCGTTCTACTAGAATGTTTTAAATAAAACTAGTAGCGAAATTGGGTTGATGTGTTTAATTAGAAGGTTTCTTACATACTAACTAACAATATTAAATTTACTTAAAAACTAGAGAACGACTAACAAAGGGGGTGGAGTTTAAATGAAACATATCATGGTGGTGGATNTAAAATATAGATAATTATTAGGACTAAACAATGTACTTGTCCAACTTGAAAACCGGAAAAAAATTTTACTTGAAGTTTTACGTGCAAGTTTTCAAATTTAACTTTCAATTAACAATCTGCCCGTAAAACTTGAAGTAAAAATTTTGTTGCGATTCGTTTTTCCACTTGTCCGTTGAAGTTTCACTTCTACTATGTGTGCCAGCACACATTTCATTTTCACAGATTTACTGCAAATTATGATTTGTTTTTACACAGACTGCAAATACAGGCAATGATGCCCAGCCACGTCGAGAGCAGAGGTAAGAAAACAACAGCTGAGCATAGTTCCGGCGCTACCGCCTCTCACTACGCGATAGACCATTTACCCCCTCCAAGGGACCGTAACGCTTTTTCGTGACAGAAGAAGTCGTAATACCCCGTCTATTTCACTTCAAAAATTCTTTCACCGTTGGAAAGCTGCATTATCCCTGGGTGACATAGGCTATTTTATATTTTCAAAAAACTTAGGATCCCAAGGTGTAAAAAAATGACCTAAAAATTTCCTTACATCGAGTGCACTGTTAAAACTACTGATGATAGAACCAAATAATGTACTACGGCTGTGCAGAATACATCATCATCTACAAAAAGTATCGCGACTGCATGTCTAACTATTATAGTTATGTAACAATAAGTGTTCTTTTATTTAGAAAATTTAATGAAAATGCCGCTGCTAGAAAAAGGTATTTGTTTGTACCTTATCAAAATGAATTACTTCATATTTAAGAATGCTTTAATATCTTTATATAACTTTATGAATTATATTATGTCAACTTTTAAAATAGAGGGACAAGTATATCATATTATAGGTAACCTTTTACAACCATTAGGTTAAAATCCACAATACTTGCAGATATATTGCATTTCA